CACGGGCCTGAGCCTAGGAAAGGCTCGATCCAAGCCCTGCTCTACTCTGTGTGGCTATGAGACTTGAATCAAGTATTTATTCAATGTTTCCATTATCTGAAAAAGTAAGGTGAATTCCACACCCATTTCTACTGGTAGCTGCTGTCACCAGCCTATGGCATTTTGTGCACTATACAGGGTAGGTTTGCCATGTCTGTGAATTGGAGATGATGGTAACAGCTGGACTCCCATATCCGCCTCTGAGGATTATTATGAGAGCCCCAATAAGACGTTAACTGGTTGCATTTTAATAAATACAAATTTCAGCAGAAGCCAAATTTACTTCACCAAACTTCCTCTCTTCCTTCCTTCCTTCACTAGGTTCTAGACAGGACTTCAAATCACTTTACAACGATGTGAAATCAGAACAGATCTCAAATTATTATTTTGGGTGAAGCGAAATGATAACCGGAATGAGAAAAATTAGGGGATGAAGCCCTGAAAGGGGAGACTTGGAAGAGCCCTTTCAGGATCCTGATGTGGGAAATGGGGTTATTGCCAGGACTGTGGGGAGAGTGAGCCACACATGCTCAGAGCAGCATCTTTGAGTGGGCGTGGTTTCTGATTCGGGCTATTAAAAGATTTGGTTGCTATGCATTGTGTACACTGCCCTTGTTTTCTAAGAGAGAGATTTCGTTTCTAGCAAAGTATTGACCTGTAATGCTTCCCTTTTTGGTAACCATTCCAGGTCACCCACAATTTACAAATTTAGATCCGTTCAGTTTCACTTCATTGGTCATGACTGAACCAGGAAGATCCGGTTTGAAGCCCTAGTTTGAGGTCTCCAGCCCCCATTGGGACATTGTTGTTGTTGTTAAGTGCCGTCGAGTCGGTTCCGACCCATAGCGACCCTGTATAGGGTTTCCGAGGACCAGCTGGTGAGCTTGAACCGCCGACCTTGCAGTTCAAACGGCTTTGCAATCTGGCGCATTAACCCACAGCGCCACACCAGGTCTCCAATGGGACATTAGAGTATGTTATCTTTGTACTTCTGGATGGATAACTGCTCCATAGCTTCCTCGGTCAGTTATCCTTTCCAGAACAAAATTGCCCCAAGGAGCATCAGAAGTGGATGGAGCAAGGGCAAGTGGGGATGTGGCAGGAGGAAGCCTCGGTTCAGCCACTTCCTCCTGTAAGGAGCCTCAAACCCTTCCCCTCGTGTCTCGCTGGCTGCATGGCCCCTGGGCTCTGGGGCCCTTGCAGGAAGCAGTCTTGCTTCCCAAGGTAAAGGCAGGCTTCCTGTCACAGATGGTTTTCTGGTTAAAGGCGAGGGCGGTTAAGAACCCCTTCCTAGAGCTCTGGGATCTGCAAACCTGAAGGGAGGGGAAGGTGAGAAAGCTAGAGAGCGGCCAGCAGAGCTCGCTGAGCGCCCAGGGGGGAAGGACCTGCTGTCACTTCCCGAAAGCTGGGTCTGCCCCTAGGCGGGGAGAAGGTCAGAGCAGTCCCTGTAGCCCGCCTACCCTGGCCCCGCCCTTCAGTCTCCGGGGTTTGCCCAGGCACTTCAGAGCAGAGAATTTACTGTAAATTTTGCCACGGGTGGAAACTCTCAGAGGGGGCGAGGAAAAGGGCTAAAGGAAGGGGCCAGAACTCCCGGCCCCCAGTTCCCGTCTTATCAACACCCTCAGTCTCATTGTGGTGCCTTATTTTACCTTTCGGTAAAGGGGGGATACCCTCCATCTGGATGTGCCAGGAAACAGCCAAGTGGTAAATGAATGAGCCAATCACACCTTGCAGAAAAGGCAGGGCCTATTTCTACCACCATGGCTACAGCGTTTTGCACTGTTGTTGTTGTTGTTCAGTGCCATCGAGTCGGTTCCGACCCATAGCGACGCTGTATAGGGTTTCCGAGGAGCAGCTGGTGAACTTGAACCGCCGATCTTGCAGTTCAAACCGCTTTGTAAGTCTGGCACATTAACCCACAGCACACCAGGACTTTTGTATTAGCCCCATTAAAAAAAACAACAACAAACAAAACCTGTATCCCTAGAACTGATTCTAACTCTCCGTGTATGTGCTCAACAATACCAACAAAGCAAAAACCACGTCATGGACAAATCCAAGTGATCTTGGGCATCAGCCTGTGGCCTTTGATTCACTCTCCTGGAGGAGTATTTGAGATACATTTTAAAGTCAAGCTGTCTTATAACTGCTCACTGCCCACTGTAGTTTTGAGTTAACTTCTAGTGCCG